TGTGTGGTAGATACGGGTCGCAGGTACGCACGCGAGAGCACGAACAGGAGCAGTTTTTCCGAACGAACGCAAAACGCTACTTATAAAAAACCTCTTCCCGTCGCTTTCTTGTTTTATGAGCCGATGGCGCTTTCGCGAGCGGTTTAATTGCCAGTATGTCATGATTGGCGTCAGTTAAGCGCATCAAACCAGTGAGAGATCCCCGGGGTACCGCTCTTTTTCGAGCGAGTGCGCATGCGCGCGATTCGTCGCCCCTGACAACGCGAGAGGCGGCGACGAGATGTTCTGTTATCACTGCCGCCGTTAAATGTTTCCGTAACCTGGCAACCGTTAATTGTTTGATATTTGTAGAGGGTTAAATCCGGCAGAAATGTGTTCGCAGACGGAGCAATCACGCACGCTTAAACAAAACTAATTACACGCTGCTTGCTTGCTAGCGATTTAAAATAACGGCATAAGCGCGATGCAATATTCATGTGTATATCGGGTACTAAGAAAATAATAATTAGCTAAATATTCATATTGCGAGTTCATGCGTATCAATTATGTACAGCATTATAGCAAAAGTTTCAGCTAATAAGGGATGTGCGATGACTTTTCGAGATCGTTTAGAAATTCTTGTTCAAATATCGTGTTTTTAAAGGGTATCTAATTATTTGAACTTTGTAAGAAGGTTCGGAGAACATTTCCGGCCTGACTAAGCGTTATACTAAATCCAGGCCGAGCCAGTGTATAAGTAACCGTATCCATACCGACCGCCACCGTCTTTAATTGTCTAATTAATGCTAGTCTATTTTATCGCAAAATAAGCGCGTGTAGTAAGCAGACGATTCATTTTTTGCCAAAATCAGAATCATTCGGCGGTCATTTGCAACTTGCAACCAGAGCAACTTCGAATTCGCAGCCAGCTACCGCGCATAGTATGTGACGAAGTGCTTTTGGCATACGTTTTTTAATAATATTTTCTCTCTTATAAAGATACTCTATCTCTTCCATAAGGGCATTGAAAGTTTGTGATTCGCTTATGCAGCCGTTACAAGAACGAATTTAAAAGTGTTATTATGTGCGTATCTGTTAATTTAGAAAATGTAGTTTTATTAGTTTAGAAAATAAGTTTGTGGCATTGATTATAATATGTGGGGAAATTTTCTACAGTGTCTAAAGGCTAACCTCAGCAAGCAACCATGCGAACGATTGCTAGCAAGTCCGAAGCGCCACCTGTTGTACGAAGGAGTTCTAACATTAATGGGTGAGTATTGCCAAGCAGGGTAAACACAGTGCGAGAAGTCATAAAAGAATTTTTACTACGATGAAATTGTGCATTTAATGTTCGAACACAGCCACGATTAGTTTGCTATAAAAATGTCTATTCCCGGACTTCACTTTAATAATGATAAAGCCCAAATTCTTCCCGAATTTCCATTTACTGCAGCATGGCGGAAAACCAGTGTGCGCGCATGTCCAGTACCTGCCAAATAAAATAGTATTTTGTTAAAATTATATTTAAAAAACAAAAAGCACACACCTGTCGCAGTTGGGTTGAGGTGATAAACTATCCTAACGTTTTGCTTCCATAATTATAAGGTGCCAAATTGAGCCGGCTGGTGTGACACTAATAAAATCTTAATTAAGTGCTGGGAATATGTTCTACAGGGGACATATGAAGGACATATGTTTGCGCAAGCCCAGTAACTACAAAATTAAATAACATACATTTAAATTATACTTTTAAAACGGGCAGCATATACGCGTCACAGTAGCTAGATAATAAACAAATATTGATGCCTTCCTTGAATAATGGTACGGCGACCGGGCTGACGCAACACTTATAATATTTAAATCAGTCAACAGGTGGCAATGTATCTAACATGACATGTGCAGCTGTATATCTAGTCTTTATCAAATAAATGATGTAGTATTTTGTCAAGATTATATATACTGTTAATCCAGAGAGACATGATATAAGATTGCGTGGCACAGCTTTGCTGTTGATCCTGAGCGCTGCGCGCGGATGAGACGCGCAGTTCCGCGGGATATTCGCACGCGACCGCGGGGATGTTCAAGTATGAAGCGCGGTTCGCAGTGGAGACGTGCGCCAAATTCGAGGCCCGGCGCACGTCTCCACAGCGGTCAGTGGATGGTCTGTAGTTTTAGAATATAACAATGAAGACTTTGTTCTAAATAAGAACTATCGGCGGCTAAATAAGAGCAATATACAGACCTTTGAACATCTTGACTAGTCGGTCAAAGGGCTTGTTGGGGGTCCATTGTGCAGAGCTTCCAATTGAAATGGCCCATGAAATTGTCAAGTGGAATTGTGTTTTTCGGAACCTCAAAGAAAATGTCTCCCTCTTACATGCACCCCCTCCCTGATCAATCAAGCATTCAGGCGTAAACATTAACAGAGATGAAATGCCTCGGCGCGCCTCGGCATCATGGCCGCATCACGTCTAGCGACGACATACCCACCAGTCACAAGATGTGTGCCGTACGAGGTTTTCATGTAGCATACGGGAAATGTGAACACGCATATGTGCGCGCATGCCTTGTACTGTCAAACAAAATTATATTTCGTTGAAATGAAGCTTACAAATAAGCTTAAAGCTGTAATTTCACATAGGTTTTAATTTAATAAGTTAATATTTTAGTTTAAAATGGAGCGTACATATGCCAAAAATGACGACATTGGTCGACATAACACAATTACACAAAAAACATAAAATAATGCAGGATATGATTCTGTTATCGATTATCACGAGATTATCCCATGTTAGAAGATGACATTATAACGAATAATAACCAATATAGGACAGAACTGAATAATAGAGCCTGTGATTTTCCTGTGGGCAGAGAACAGCAACAAGGGAACGGAGCTGAATCTGTTTCTCTTCGATGACATGTTGCTCATCACGAAATTGAAAAAGTCTCTGAGCAGAAAGGTGAGTCGTCACACTGGCACTCTACTAAACGCCCCGCCAGCAACTCTCGTCTGCAGCCACATTTTACCAGTGCGTGGGTAATCAATTACCACATAGGCCTAGATCTGAGCCCATCCCAGGGGTTTTAGGGAACAAGGGAACATGAGCATTAACTTTTAGGGAAGAGGGGATATTGTCGAATTATTTTCAGGAAACAAGGGAACTGCTGATTAGATTTTTGGTAACAAGGGAACTTTGATTATCCGTCTTTGTGATTTTTTCACAGCTTTCTGAGACTGTTTACAATAAACTTATAAGTATTTCAGGGTGATTTCAACATAGTGTGCTGTAGGGACCATTAGGGTCCACAATTATAGGACCTTTTTCACTCCAGCGTCACGAGACAATTATGGGGAACAGTGGTAAATATTTTTGGGGATTAAGGGAACTGGAAAATAATTTTCGGGATCGTGGGAACACAAGGTAAAAACATTTTAGGGAACAAGTTATTTTATTAATGGGGAACAAGGGAAAAATGCGTAAACATTAAGGGATCAAAAGAACATGTACCCCCCCCCCCCACCCCTGTGAGGGGCTCAGATCTCTTCTAACATCTGTAACCAACTAGGTATGCGATTCACTCCGCTTGGACGCGTGGTTTCTGCATGTAATGCAACGACAACGATGTTCACAATTAATTAAGTGAGTCCTGTGCTGGTTCGTTCTACGGCATGCTTCGAGGAAGAAAAAACGCCAGCTCGAACACGGTCCTGCATGGTTGCAGTAGCGGCCAACGACACCAGCGAGCATGGTTGTTATTTACGACGTCCGACATCTTGGTTTTTCTGTGTCATAGAAACTCTCAACGGAAGCTCCCTTCGGCGTGAAGAACGTCGACAGCCCATCGTTCGTCGTGCAGCGGCAGCCGATGCCTCTGGACAGACTCATACTGAAGGACCTCACGGCTGCCGACTTCTCGTGTGAGCGTGACCTCCGCCGCATGAGCCACGCGCGGACTATACTATTAACCATGCATATAACTACACCCTCCCCGACACACACATACGCGCACACGCGTGCACAAACGCCCCACAAAAGCACACACACACACACATGCACGCACGCTCGCACGAACAAACGAACGAACGCACGCACGCACGCACGTACGCACGTACGCCTACCATACGTACATACGTGCATACGTGCGGGCATGCGCGCACGCGCGCCCACGCCCATACGCGCATATGCACATACATAATATACATACATACATACGTACGTACGTACGTACGCACGCACGCACGCACGCACGCACGCACGCACGCACGCACGCACGCACACGCATACATACATAACAGCAGATAGCAATGCAACTATCGTTATTCTGAAATTACTGCGCGCTTATGGTTGGCTATCGTAGCCTATACTCAGAAATAATTATTTTCACCTCGCTAAAAATGATTTAACCGCGGTTAAATTATGGCCCTTTTATCCAATCAGAGGCTTTGTTACACATAATTTTAAATTAAACAATTTTTAACTGCGGATAAATTATTTATGTGCATCACGGCCTCTGATTGGGTAAAAGGGCTATAAAATAAAGTATAATTGAAACGCGATTAAAATAAATTTAACCGTGGTAAAACAATTATTGCTGAGTACGATCGTCAACCATGCGCGTGAGTGGACTGACACTAGCATGTCGTGTGTGATTTGTATGTTTCAGCCACGGGTTTGAAATACGCGTTCGTAGTCGTACAGACGACACGGTTCGGTCAGATCACCGCTGTCTACACATTCCAAGCGTCCAACGAAACAATGAAGGTGCGTATGCACACGCCGCTCCATCTATCTCACAGCACATTGCACGCATCTGTGAATGGAAGGCCAGAGCCATGCAATGTGCAGTACAATTAATGTGTACTCTATTTATTGCACTGTGTATTGCACGATAGAAGTGGAAAGTCTTGTGGCAATACAACGATTACCAACTGTAAAGTCAACGTGAAAATATCGACGCAGATTCCCTTATCATGCTTTAAATTTAAATGTTCTAATCTAGGCATCTTCTCATACGACACTAACACATGTAAACCAACCGACATTTCTTTTAATTGATACATTAACGATTACGCTGACATTACTAAATATTGCCAGCCATATTTAATTACGTGTAGATATATAGTTCATTATATTGACAATAGTATAATTATAATTAATCATCAAAAGTTGATTATCGTTAATTAACGATCAACGATTACACATGCGCCCTCCATTTCTCTTCTAGAAAGCATGGATTCAGAAGCTCAGGGCAGCGACGGACAAGTGGAAGTACGAGTTGGCTTCGCGATTCATCTCCCGCCGTAAATCGAGCGCGAGCAGCACGTCTACGACGGCGTCGCGCCGCAGCTCCGTGAAATCCGAGTCCGACGACAGCCGACTGCAGCCGTCCACCAGCGTGCGCTCGCGAGGCGAACTGCAGCGAGCTTCTAGTCACAGGTTAAGATCGTCGGTAAATGGGGTCATCGAGGCGCGGAAGTGGGAATCCCTCGACGGACAGGGACGGCTGCCGCCGTAGCAACGGGACGCGCGAGACGTCAATGGTGCGACGATGGCGTCGTCTGAAGACGGCTGGTTAGTGACGACGGCTCAATTAATAATGCGGCACACGATAACATAGAATCGATCGACGATAACGATTGAATGCACGAGAATAGTAATCGATGTCACGAGACATACCGGTAACGTCAACGAGCTACCTAATGTATACGTTTCCTCCTTCCCGCCTCCCATCAGAGCGACGTATGTTGAGATAGTATCATAAATTCAGATATCAGATATTTGATACATAATATCTTTATACACGGCTCTGATGGCGATAAAGAAAAGGCGCCCTATCGCGGCCGAAACGTTCGCGATTCTGCCTCGGCACGAGTTACTGGCTCAGTAACGTCACAGACTAACGTCCACGCCCACGTCCGTTAGTCTGTGGTAACGTGTACATCAGTTTCTGTACTTCAGTTTTCTGTGTAGGAATACGATAGAGAAAAGCGAGAAATAGTCTGAGAGAGAGACGAACAGAGAAAGGGAGAGAAAGAGAGGGAGAGAGGGAGTGAGAGAGAAGGGGAGAGAGCGAGAGAGAGAATTAGTGACGGAGAGAGAGAGAGAGAGAGAGAGAGAGAGAGAGAGAGAGAGAGAGAGAGAGAGAGAGAGAGAGAGAGAGAGAGAGAAGAGAGAGAGAGAGAGAAGAGAGAGAGAGAGAGAGAGAGAGAGAGAGAGAGAGAGAGAGACGGATAAGGCGCCAACGATACAAGATCATACAAGCTCCACAAACAATGGGCATCGAAAGATCCTCGCTAATGGGGACTTCGTCTTAGACCATTTGGATTATGCACATTTGTGTACGTGAGAAAAATCAGAAACCGATGGGTGGATATAGCCACTCGCTTTTGTGTATTGTTAAATGCTAGGTGCTCGTGTTGCGGATAGCGTCTCTCGCGACTCGACTTAATATTGTAAAAGGTGACGTGATCGACGTATTAATTCCTAAAATATATAAATAGTGCCTAATTTGTAACGTTTGTACGCCGATTCCTTGCGAGGGGTCTTTTTGCGAGGATTTGTTCTCCGAAAATAGCTAATTCGATCCAGATCGACTCAAGTAATTTATGGTCATCCAATATTTTTTTATTTATATTCGAATAGTTGTATTCCAAAATTGCAACGGGTTAACCAGGGTACGGTTTGGCTTGCATATTAACTTGGTGCACGTTTATAAAAATGTAACATGCGTTTTGACTTTTAATTGAATTGTTTTCTAGTGCAATGTTGTTTGTAAATAAGATACTATACTAAGATAAGTTTAGGCTCGAGGGGTACATGTGGTGGTGCTAATACCATAGACTTGAAACAAAATCGAGGGAGGAAGCTATGGAAAAATATAAAAAGCCGTTCATTCATAGTACATCATACTCGGAGCTTTTGGTCAGTCACAGCTTGTGTAATTTGCCACAGCCAACGAACAACAGCTGTTTTTCTTGTTTGTACTCGCACTTCCACAATGAACAAAGTAGCGAGAGAGAGAAATAAATTAGAGAGAGCCATCGAGTAGTATCTAAAGACGCGTGTAGATGCAGGGAGCACGCACTAGAAATAGCAGCTCCTTGTTAGTTATCGAACGCCTTTCTCTAGTGAATGGATAGCGCCAGCTACTATTGCGAAGAGAATTGCAAAGCAAGGGTGAACAGAATATAAACTATGCAGGGAGCGTGTAGCTATTGAATCAGGGTTTTTCTTGTCTCGATTAGAGAATTTGATCCGCGGGACGAAATAAATGATAAACAAATGCAGAAATTATTATTTTATTATAAAATGAATATTGTAAATGTTTTCCAGAATTGGAAAACTAATCATTTTTATTGTTCTTTCAATAAATACAAAAACTTAGAATTTTATGTAAATAAACAAAACCACGCGAAATCAGATAGTTGCGTTATGTTTTATTTAAATAGTGTAGTTTATTATTTATAGTAATTTCATTTTCACAGTGTATACCAATAACAGATACAACAGTAAACTTTAAGATAGTAAAAAGTAACTAGTAACTTGAGATTTCACATCATACTCGCACGTAAACTTCACACGTAAAAAAATCATGAGCAATGCTTTCTTCTAAAATCTATTGCTAAAAATTGTAGAATACACAAAAATAGGCCATTTACATAGACTTGACAATTTACAAATAATTCATTGGTAATCTTGTAAACTGTGTAGCATATTTCAAAGTGGGAATTTCAACAAATAAACAATCCCCTACGGTCAATATACGTTACCTTTAACAGTATGAAATGCTCCTCATTTAAGACACTATGGGTTCAATCACGAATGAATTGCTACAATATTGCGTAGATATATGCATGGTACAACTGCAGTATGCTGTGGACCAAACCAGTACATTAGAAACATACACACACACAATAGAAACATCACAGTAATAAGTTGCATCATTCCAAATCGTTTGCATTTTATATCTATAAATATATATTATCATGACCGTATAGAATTATATAACAATCAAAGCAGTGAATCAACATGATCAATGTCAAGTTCTCGTGATTGTTCACCTCATTCGACGGAGACTTGATTACATAATAAATAGGTCGCAAAAGCCGACAATTCCACACCAATTTATAACACTGATAAGTAGATTTAGTACGACATGAGCAGGCCACCTACTATGATACATTAGTTCTCATTTTAATATTCTAGCATGCTCTCATAGATGTTTATAAAAAAAGCGCATCTCTTTAGTTTGAGAACAATCAACCTTAAGCACGTGAGATAAAAATAGTTCCGGCAATTTATAAACTTTCAATCGTTTGTATATAACTTCATCAAGGTAAGGGGTGTTTGGCACTATGTGGTATGGCATTACAATCTGTGACATTTCAGCTATAAATAACATGTACATGGACTATTAAATACGTTTACGGTCCATGGAGCTATTATGCAAACGAGGGGCCGTTTTCATGAATGGCCACAACTTCGAAACTCGTAAATAAGCTTTGAACATCAGGTTAGTGTGGATTGTTGTATGTGGATCATTTTTTAACCAAGTGAATAACTTTCTGGCAATGACCTTTTCTCACTTAGAAGACTTAAGTCCTATATAAAGGCAATAGCTGTCCCACCCCTCTCTCTCTCGCTCTCTCTCTATCTACCTCTTCCTCTCCCTCCCCTTGATCTCAATTTTTCTCACTTGAGAGATTTAATTTCTAGAGTCAATATATGCCTGCCTCTCTCTCTCTCTCTCATTCTCTCTCTCTCTCATTCTCACTCTCTCTCTCTCTCTTTCTCTCCCCGCTCCCACTTCTCTCTCCCTATCTCTCATTCTGCCTTTCAAGTTCTGTTTTACTCTCTGGCTGTTATGCAACCACATGCACTAACCTGCCTTGTTTATCTATCTGTAGTCCTCAAGTAATCTCCAACCCATGACATCTCATGACCACATCTCCAGCCTCAACTCTTGCTTTATGCGTCTTATCTAGTCTCCCTCTCCCTTGTCCTCCACCCTTCGCTTCGCTCCTCCCCTACGTGCCCTATCTAGTTCTCCTCTTCCATCTTCTCAACCCGCTCCTCCCCTATGTGTTTTCATATCTTCTCTTTTCCTCTACACCTCCAACCTAGCATCCTCTTCTTTCTCCTCCACCCTATGCTCCTCCTCTATGCGCCTCATCTAGTCCTAGTCTCTCATGTCCTCAATCCCTCTGCTCCTCCCCTACGTATCATACCTGGTCCTCCTGTCCCTTCTCATCTGCCTGAGCATCAAGGATTAGCTTTGCGAGCTGCGACCGTGAGCCTAGAGCCTCGCCGCGGCGCGCGAGGCACCGCCGGTATGCTGCCTCCTCCTGTGCATGCGCATCGCAGACGACGGCACGGTAGCGTGAGCGCAGTGCAGGCTCGACGGCGCGGAATACATGCAGCCGCGAGCGCAGGAACAGCTCATAGAGGTCCGGGGTTGGCGTGGCAGCGGCGGCTCGCGCGACGCCGTCCGGCACCTTCTTGACGTCGGTCACGATAGGAATGGCGTCGGCGATGATCTTGCGGGTCTCAGCGTAGTCGCCGTTGTAGAAGCATGCGTGCTCATACGCGTCACGGTCAAAGTGGCCGTGCACGCGATTGATGTCGAGTGTCTCAGGGGGCGCCACATCTGTGCCGTAGACGACGCTCGGTTTGTACTCGTAGAAACCCATCGGGAAGAATACCTAGTAAAGACGAGACGACACTATATATGTATATGATCAGGAGTGTATCAAAAGGAGTAAGACAGACTAAAACCGGCAAAATTCAACATTTAGTTGCCTTAGTCTACCTATGATTTATTGTGTTTACCTCGATAAACTTGAGCTCAAGTCTTGCCTTAATCATTAAACTTTATCCGTGTCTAATCGTTGGTCTCACAAAAATGACAAATCGGGAGATATCGGTCTAAACGTACAATGTGGTTTTATCAATTTACATCGCTTTGTGATGATCACGATCAGTGAACCGAATCATAAGGGCAATGCTTTTGAAAGCCCTCT